TGAGAAATGTTGATTGTGTTCTTCCTTTTTGGTTTTCTAACTCCAGGTATTTGCACATTTCATTATGATATTTAATGCTGTCATCTCAAGCTGCCTTTTGAAATTTTTAGTTCAGCTTTTTTACCTCCCCATTTATTCCATTTGCTTTAGCATCTCTATGCTGGAAAGCAACTTTCAGAGTCTCTTCTGACATCCATTTTGGTCTTTTTCTTCTTTCTTGTCTTCTTAATGACCGTTTGCTTTCTTTCTGTATGATGATATTTATGTCATCCCATAACTCTTCTGGTATTTAGTCTTTAGTGTCTGATGCATCAAATCTATTCTTCAGATGATCTCTAAATTCATATGGGCTATGTTCAAAGTCATATTGTGGCTCTCATAGTCTTGTTTTAATTTTTTTAGCTTCAACCTGAACTTGCATGTGACCAATTGATGGTCTGTTTCACAGTCTGTCCCTGTCCTTGTTTTGACTGATGATGTGGAGCTTTTCTACTGTATCTTTCCACAGATGTAATCAATTTGATTTCTGTGTATTCCATCTGATAAGGCCCATGTGTATCTTTATGTTTAAAAGGAATTTGTAATGAAGTCATTGGCCTTGCAAAATTCTATCATGTGATCTCCAACATCGTTTCTATCAGCAAGGCATATTTTGCCATGACTGATCCTTCTTCGTTTTCAATGTTTGCATTTCAAACGCCAGTAATTTTCAATACATGGAGTTTTTTGTGTAACTTTTTATTGTGAATTGAGTGAAGGTTTACAGACAAGATCACCAGCTTTACATTCAACAAATTATACACTATGTTTCGTCTCAGTGATTATAATCCACTCCCCACAACAACAGTTATCCTACTTCCTCCCTATGGCTCCCCATTTACATGGTTTTTGTTTTGTTTTAAGATTTTATTGTGAATCAAGTGATAGTTTACATTAGAGAACATCAGTTTTTCACTCATCCTATCTTATTTTGTTTCATTGCAATGATTATAATCCCCTCCATGCATCATCATTTAACAGTATGTGTTGTATTCTGTTTTTTTGTTTTTGTTTTTTTTTTTTTAATTTTTAATTTTTTAAAAGGGTATATTTTTTTCAAGCTAACCTCCTGGTCACCAACACACAGACTTTCTCTTTCCATGAGTCTAGATTCCTCAGCTGCTCTGTCTCTCCATGCCATCACCTTTGCCTCCATTTCTGGTGTCGCTGCTTCTCTGGTTAGGATCCCATATTCTGCTCATACTTTTCTCTTTTGATGGTCCTATGGTCCTTTGTTCCTAGACTATAAGATTAACTACTCCCTGCTTTATGTTACAAAACTTCTACCTTTACAGTTGTGACAGTGGCACTAAGTCATGATAACAATTACTATTGAATCAAAAGAATCCAATCCCCATTTCCTTTTACCAGACCCATCTAGACAAGATGAAAATGATTCAGTGGGAATTATACCTTCTTCTACACACTCTGAAACTAATCTCTCTCCTGAGAACTTGTAAGCTAGTCACTTTGTGCCTTTATAGCCCCATTTTAGGTAGCCAATGGCTAAGTTGCTCATCCCTATCAACCCGAGGCTTGATCCTTGATATGAAGACTCCTTGGTTGGCATTTTGAGCTACTACTTCCATGAGTATAGATCAAGTTCATCAAATTGTAGCAACTTACACTTGCTTCCTTTATCAAATTTCTTTATCTTCCTCTAGTCAAGCTGTGGTCATCAAGCCATAGAAGCTAGGTCAAATGGGTACTATCTGCAGGTTTGGGCACTCTTGTGCATCTCCTTCCACTTTATAGCAGCTGGACACTTCACTCCTAACTCTAGCCCTCTGTAGCTAGGTGAATGTCCATGGGTTCAGGAGTTTCCAAGTCTCCTCAAACTTTGGACCAACCAGCCCTTCCTTTTCTCCCTCTCATCTCAAGGTCGACAGGAGTCTATGAAACATGGTCAAACTCAGTCCATATCTTCATTACTTAATTTCCCAGCAAGCTTACATGTCTTCTCTTGTGTTCCCTTTGAGTTTCAGTCTTGGAGGGGGGTTTGTCCTGAAAGAACTTGATTGCTTGCCTTTATAGCTCCCCGGCGAACAGCTTACTTGTTCTTAGTAGTAGCCAAACAAAACTGCCATTTTTGTTTCTGTTTTTTCCTACTGTCAATACATCTTGATTGCATATTTGATCAATTTTTTAATGAAGAAGTTAGTAGAATTGTTCAATTTCATCATCATAGGCTTTATTAATTGGTGCATAAATTTGAATATTTGTATTAACTGGTCTTTCTTGTAGGCATATGGATATTATCCTATCACAGACAAAACTGTATTTCAAGACAGATATTGAAATGTTCTTTTTGATGACAAATACAATGCCATTCTGTTTCAATTTATCATTCCTGGCATAGGAAACCATGTAATTGTCAGATTCAAAATGGCCAATACCAGTTGATTTCAGCTCACTAATGCTTAGGATATCGATGTTTATAAGTCTTATTTCATTTTTTACAATTTATAAGTTTCCTAGATTCATACCTCGTACACTCCATGTTCCAATTATTAATGGATGGCCACAGCTGTTTCTCTTCATTTTTTAGTTGTGCCCCAACAGCAAATGAAGGTCCCAAAGGTTTTACTTCATTTACGCCATTAGGGTCAACTCAACTTTGAAGAGGCAACTCTTTTCCAGTCATAGTTTGAGTGCCTTCCAATCTGAAGGGCTCATCTTCGGACACTGTATCTAATAATATTCTGGTGTTCTTCATCATTTTTCAATATTCAAAATTCTGGTGCTGTCTGATGGTGTTCCACTGCTTGCCATAAGATTTTCATTGCCTAAATATTTGGAAGTAGTCTGTTTCTCCTTTTTCCTTGTCTGTTTTAGTCTGGAAATTCAGCTGAAACCTGTCCACCATGGGTGACCCTACTGGTATTTGATGCTGGTCGCATAGCTTCCTGAATCACAGCAACATGTAAGCCACCACAGTATGACAAACTGACACACAAATTGTGGAGACAAAACATAGGCATATAACCCACCAGCTGCTCCTTGGAAACCTACACAGGGTCGTTATGAGTCAGAACCAACTCAATGGCACTTAACAATAATAATATATAAAGATATGGAAACGATTAACTGACTTTTGGTTTAGGACTATTGAAGTGTCTGAGTCTTTCCAGTGTCAAAAACACATTGAAAAAATTATGCTGCTCTTATTTAAATCAAGGAGACCTAGAGGTAGTTCACAGGGTTCTGGTGTGGCACTGTGGGGTAATGTGCTTAACTACAAAGTTGGTTTGAACTGCAAGATCAGTGGTTCAAGTTCACCAGCTGCTCCCCGGAAACTCTATATAGGGTCACTATGGGTCAGAACCTACTCAACGGCACTTAACAACAGCAACAGAGGTAGTTTGACCCCACCAGCCTCAGAAATACTCTTCAGCAGTCCTATAGGATAGTGGGTTTGGTTTTCTCGATTTATTTATGTCAGCCAAGTGTAGATCTCACAAAAGATTCACAATATTTTGTGAAATATCAGAAACTTGAATAACTTGTTGGCCTTCATTTTGAGATTTTCATTTGTAGTTCTTCCTCAGGTTCCATATTTTCAAGATTTAAAAGGATACAATTGTAAGCATTTACATAGAAAATAACCATGTAATAATCTCTGTGTAGATGGCAATTTTGTGAGGAAATACCTGAAATGGCTGAACTAAACCAATTTGCTGTTGCTCCTAAGTGCAATCTAGTAGGTTCTGACTCATAGTGGCCCTGTAAAGGAGCAGCTGGTGTGTTTGAACTGGTAGCAGTCCAGTGCTTATCCTATAGTGAGTGAGAGAAAGAGAGAGAGAGAGAGAGAGAGAGAGAGAGAGAGAGAGAGAGAGAGAGAGAGAGAGAGAGAGAGAACAGGTTTTCCGAGGCTGTAAATCTTTACCGGAGCAGAAAGCCTCATCTTTCTCCCCCGGAACAGCTGGTAGTTTCGAACTGCTGACCTTAAGGTTCGCAGCCCGATTCGTAACCACTACGCTACCAGAGCTCCTTAGATAGAAGCCGAGACAGCGAGACAGAGAGACAGAGGTTTGAACTAAATTCTAATCTTTAATCCTTTCATGTTCTGAAGTGAGTCCTCTGCAGGCAATAACCTTGGCTGGGATAAACAGGAAGCAGTTAGAATAGTTCTGGATGAGAAAAGACTCTGCTCCACATAGGGAAGCAATTGGGAATAGACAGGAGGAATTCTGTGTTACACGGGAGCGCTCAAAGGCGCGCGTGCGCGCGCGTATACACACACACACACACACACACACACACACACACACACACACACCACTTGGATGGTAGCACATCACTGTTGTTAGTCCTGGAAAATGACACAGTGCTGGAATTAGACACCTAGAAAACTGTATTCTGCTGTTCGAGAGAACCGATTTTTAGGGGCGAGTGGGCAGCAGCAGGTAGGGGCAAGGAGAGAGGCACTCACTGTCTTTGCAGACCTGCTGGGAGTCTACAGTTAGGCGTTTCTAGGCCCCCTTAGCAGAGGCGCCAGACAGGTGGCGTCTCCAAGGACTGGGCATCTGCACAGAAACCTGGGGAGCCGGGAACAGCGACAAGGCTGTGGCGCAGTTCCCAGCCTGAGGCCCTGTCCTGCGGCAACTCCTAGCTCGGCCCGGGCGGGTCATCTCGCCTCAAATCCTCAGCCGCCACCTCAGCCTCCTCCCAGTCTTTCCCGTATCTCTGCATTCTACATTGCGGCAGTCGCAGCGTCGCTGGCCCCGGCGCTCCCTCTTCCCTCGCCTCTCCCCTCCCCTCTGGTGGTACAACCGCTCGCACACCCGGCCAGTCCCCTCCTCCAAGGCCTCGGCTAGGCGCGACCGCAGGACACCGCCCGGCTTGGCCCCGTCGCGCTCGGGCTGGGCTGCCGCTGGGATCCGACAGGGGCGGGGAGCAGGGAGGGGAGAGGGCGTGTGCGCGCGTGGAGTGGGGGCGCCGCCATATTGAATCCGGACCCGTCCGCGAGCCTCAACCTGCGCGCTGCGGGTCTGGAGGAGCCTAGCGGAGCAGAGCGTTGCGAACGCGAGAGCAGAGGGAAGGCGGGGGAGGGAGGAGGTGAAGGGAGTGGTTGCTTGCTGGGCTGCCGCAGCCTCGGCTCTCACTAGCGGCGCGGACGCCTCCTCCAGCGCCTCGAGGAGGAAAGATGCCCTTTACCCGGGGCTGTAAAGAAGAGGGAGAAGTCGCTTCTGGAGTCGCCCTCGCTGCCGTTGCCGCAGCTGCCGCCGTTTGTTTCTTGTAAATTCAGAACAATCACCCCCCTTCACCAGGGGCGTCTGGACCCTCCTGCGCGACAGCCTTGTTGAAGGCAACAGGGAGACCCGGCTCTTGGCCCGCGCGGCCCGGCCGACGACCGACCACCGACATGGAGTGGGCTCGCGCGGCCAAGTAGCTGCAGATACGGGAGCCTGCGTCCCAGACCTTGGCCGCGCCACCAGCCAGGCCCCTGGGAGAAGAGGTGGTGGTGGTGGGGGCGGTGAGTTTTCATTGGAATCCGTTGGAAATAGGAAAAACGGCACAGCCTTAACTAGCAAGACGTCGGGGAGGAAAAAGGAAAGGCGTCCTTGGGGCAAGACTTGGCGTGCTTTGGAGGGCCTGCTTCGGAACCTCGCCCCCTTTCCTTCCCTCCGGAGAAATTGCCACTGATGCATTATCCAAGCGGTGGCTGGGAGAATTTGCAGCAGAATTTTTGGTTTTCCCTCTCCCATATATAATCTTGTTTTTTCCCTCCGTGTTCTACTTTTCTTCCCGGGAAGTGAATTGCTGATTCAAATAGGACTTTATTCATTAATGAAGCAGCCGGATTAATTTCAGGATTATGTTGCATCAGTTGAATTTTGAATGAAGAAGAGGTTTTTTTTTTTTTTTAAAGAAGTGTTGGTTTTTGGTCCACTGTACTTTTAGTAATTATTATTTAAATATATGTTTTAATTATGTTCGTGAAAAATGTATAAAATATATATTTTATGGGACCTTTCCTCAAACTATATATATGTGAAATTGAATATGCTTCCGTTAAGTGAGGTTACTGATGTGTTGGATGTTTAATTCAGCACCAGCATTGCAATGACAGTTGTTTAAATAATAAGTGGTTTATTTTTGAAACCGCACCTTTTAAGACTTAGGTCCAAAGAATAATCGTTAATAACAATAATAATTTAAAAGAACACCAGCAGCAGTGAAAGCCAACATGTCTGGAGAAGTGCGTTTGAGGCAGTTGGAGCAGTTTATTTTGGATGGGCCCGCTCAGACCCATGGGCAGTGCTTCAGTGTTGAGACCTTGCTGGATATACTCATCTGCCTTTATGATGAATGCAGTAATTCTCCATTGAGAAGAGAGAAGAACATTCTCGAATACCTAGAATGGGGTAAGTTTGCATTTTGGGGGAAGTCTCTTAATTTGCTCTTTAGCTGGCCATTGTGATTTGAGTGTTATAGAGAGAGTTATAAGGACTAACAGCTACTCGAATTAGTAAATGGATATGAATACAGTAACAGAAAAGATACCAATCATCCACGATTTTCTTCTAGTTTGGGAAATGTTACTCAGTTCCTCAGCATATGTTACTCAGTTGTAACATGACCTAGGTAATATGGAACTTAGACTGTAGAGCTTATGTTTTTTAGGTCAGTAGTAAGAGATTTTGAATAAATTCTGTTATGGGCAAAATGGATTATTGCGTTAGTTACTTTCAAGCATGGCTGTCTAACAGACATTTATTTGTAAGGTACTTACTTATTGGTGGAAATATTCCTTTCCAGACTTTGGAAATCACTCTCAAAATGGGAGATGTTAGAATACCTGTGTTTATCTGAGGTCAAACAGGAACCCGAAGGTGGTGATAGCGGACTTCATTTCATCTCTGTATAGTTCAAGTAAAGAAAACGATTAAACGTGGACGTTTATTAAAAAGTATCATGTTGGTCAGAAAAATGCCATAAATAGTTTTAATTTTTTTTTTGTGATAGTTAGTGGGGTAATTTGAGGCAGCATCAGTGTGAGGGTTGGATTTTAATGTGAATTTCATTGAGATATAAGTGAATCTTCATTCTTCTAAATAGGAATATGTTTTAGGATACTGTGCTGTAAGTCTCCAGATGACCTTCAAGCTTGAAAGCTTGGCGGGGGTTCTTTTGTCTGTGATGTTAGACAGAAGTGGGCCCCTGTTGGAAAAGTACACAGCATCATCCAGTCCTGTGTTGGGACATTGACTTTTGAAAAATAATAGTCAACTAGATATTTTGTACCTTTGGAATACTAATAATTTTAGTTGTAAAGGCTTCTACTAAAATATCTTGGTTCCCAAGTAAAGGTCTGTTTTCCTAAAGTTAAATAAATTGGTGATTATTTTTATTTTTGTTTTAAATTTGTATTTGAGATTTCTTAAAAATGAGTTTCTCAGCTAAATCGTAGATTTAAGAATGTCTGCACATAGCACCTTTCTTAATGCATAGTTTGTCAATGTCAGAAAACTTCTAGCAACTTGATGTCATGCAGTTTTTCAAACTATATGCTTATGAAGGGTGGGTGATGTGGTGCCCACGAATAAGTGTTGACTCCTAGGGTTTCCAAACTTGTAAATCTTTACGGGAGCAGAAAACCTCATCTTTCTCCTACAGAGTGACTGGGAGATTGGAAGTGTACTGACCTTGAAACAGCCCAGCCTGTAATGCACTGTGTGTCCCGAGCTCCTTCTGTCTATGAGTTGGATGATTTATCAATGACAAAAAAGTAAAAACAACTGATTCTCAGGCTCATACTGGGAATGGGAGAAATCTAAACAGTCCTTCAAGTGACTTTTCTTTTAAAAGTGAGATAGTTTTGACTTTTGAAATGGTTTTGTGAGTATATTTAAAATTTTTTATTAGTAGCATAAAAGATTTTATGAAGTTACGTAATCTTACATCCTGTTGTATAGATTTATAAATTTTGTAATACCTTCTTTTGAAAACTTGAAAGGTTTTGGTATTTTCAGAGTTGGAATTTGAGTTCTTGCCTTTGGGTTCTATTGTGATTATCTAGTCGTAGATTATGATTGTCATTTAATATCCATTCTCAAATAAAAATGATGGAAGAATTCTTTGTAATAAATGCAACTTTAAAGTTAAGATGAAAGAGAAAATCTTATTCTCTACTGCCTTCTGATTATTAGTTTACTTAATAGATTTATAATATGAGATATTTTTCTATAGTACTAAAATATTTTATATACATTTCCATTAAATATGCTTTTGTGTACTTTATTTCTTTAAAATATGTAAAGACATACTTATATTTTAAGCTAAGTAATAAAGTTAAATGTCAAATAAGTGGTCAAAAATTTTTGTTTTTATTATTACATTTAAATAATAGTTCATCTTTTTAGTTATCTGATACATAGTGTGACAGAAATGTACAGCCTCTTAAGTTAACTCCTATAATGTTTTTCAGTAATAGAGAATAAGAGACTAGAATTTTTAAAGAATTATCTTATACTTTTTGGGACTAGGCAGTTGTCTGTTAAGTCTCAGGCTACTGTTAAGTTGGAGCGTGAGGTTTTGAAAGTAGGAGTTATAAAGTTTCTGTAGTTTCGATAAGGAGTAAGAAGAGAAAGTTAAAAATTGAAAGGCTGTCAAATGGTATATCATGAGCAGTATTCTTTCCTATTTTTAAATTGTGCTTTTAAGTTATTTAAGAACCACATTCATTTAAATACTGAAGTAGATTGTTGTTGTTGTTGTTAAGTCCCATTGAGTGGGTTCCCATTCTTAGTGACCCTATATAGGTTTTTGAAGAGCAGCTGGTGGGTTTGAACTCCTGAACTTGTAGTTCGCAGTCCAGTGCTGATCCTGCAACACCACACCAGGTGTCCATTAGCTGCTATTGATGTATGAGTTGATTACTACCTTTTGGGAAAATGCCCAATTTTTTTTCTCATTACCTAACATTTTATATATATATATATATATATATAAATAAAATTTTTTGTCAGTGATGAAAATGTACAGGGATTGTTGTGCGGGTAACCTGTTGCCATCAAGTTGATTCTGATGCATAGTGTACCAATAGGATAGAGTAACACTGTCCCATTTGGGGTTCCCAAGGCTGTAATCTTTACTAAAGCAAACTGCCACATCTTTCTCCCTCAGAGCAACTGATGGGTTCAAACCCAGTGCTACGCCACCAGTGCTCCTTGTTGTGGAGTTTAAGTTTCACCTTAAATCATCTGATTTTTGGTTTGATTTTTAAAAGATCCAGTATTTGTAGCAGAGGAGCAATATTAGGTACATACTCTGTATTATGTGCTGCATCTTTGTGTTTAGTTATTTATATTAGTGAAAAATGTCATCTGAATATGACTTAATTTTTATGTTGATAATATACTATTTTTTAAAATGGAGTCAGCTAAGATTCTAACGTTCTGTCATTTTGTTCTTAGTTGTGGTCCATTTCATAATTAATGTTTTGTTCATGACAGTATCATGCCAGTGAGAAGACTGACAATTCAAAATCAGATTTTCTTTTCTTTCCTTTATTTATTTTTTTGGACAAAAAAGAAATTATGCTAATGATTCTAGAGAGGAAATAAAAGTAGAGCTGGAGAGAGGAAGAGGAAATTAAGCCAGGGAGCACTTGAATGAATAAGGGGATAAAAGTGCCTAAGGCCATAGATCACTTTTAAATTTAACAGTATGTATTATCTTTGCAGTTATAATCAATAAAATTTGAAAGACTATTTTGACATCTTTGTTTCTTGAAAAATAAGTGATTATAGTTTATATGTTTATTTATAAAATAATAGCTTGGATGCCAGTAGTATAACTCTAGAATTAAATTACAGTGGAGTTGTAAAAGTAAAGTAAAAATAACTTTTATATTATGAACTAATTTGCTAGTAATGGCTGTTGTTATTGTTAAGTGCTGTGGAGTCAGTTCTGACTCATAGTGACTCTGTATAGGGTTTCTGAGGAGCAGCTGTTGGATTTGAACTGCCAACCTTGTGTTTTGCAGTCCAGTGCTGATCCTACAGTGCCAACCTAGAAGTAATGGCTGATTGAATACATATTCATGAAATTGGCTACCCTGTATTTCAAAATGAGAAATTGCAATTTTAGGAAAATCTTTACTTAACTTAAAATAGTTATTGCAAAAGAAACATGGAAAACTAACTGTATGTGAATAACTATTTTTTGAGGCTTCCTCAGTGTCCTAGTATTTCCTGTAAATTATCATGAAATAACAGTCATTTTAGAGCTGATTCTGATTATAGATTCAAGATAGTTTGAATGATACATAAATTTGTTACTTGAGCACATCAGCTCATGTTATTTTTGTTGTTAAGTTCTTTCAAGTCAGTTCTGACATATAATGACAAATACTTCCTTTCAGAGTGAGTCTAAAGCTTATTCACATTTTTCCTTTTATATGGGTCAGTTAAGTGAGTCATGATATAAGGGATGTCTCGATTAGAAGTTCTGAATTTTTTCTAGGATACCTTGTTCTTCTGGCGTAGAATTTACCAATCATACCAAATTATTGAAATGTTCATTTAATACAGACTCCTTATTTATTTATTTAATTAATTTTTTTTTTTTTAGAAATCTTCATTTAGGATCATCATAAATACCATCAGAAATGTAGGCTAACCACTTGTTTCTTTTGTACTAAACCCAAACCAAACCCACTGCCACTGAGCAACCCAATATAGTGTTTCTGAGGTTGTAAATCTGTGGGAGCAGAAAGCCTCATCTTTTTCCTGAGGAGTGCCTGATAGGTTTGAACTGCCAACCTTGCAGTTTGCAGTCAGATTCTTTCTACAGTGTCGCCAAGGCTCTTTTCCTTTATATTCTATTATTATCATAAGCATGATCATAATAATGAATAAGTACAATTATTTGAGTTAACACAATACTGATACATGGTCAAGAAGAAGTAGCTATTATTCTATTCCAAATAAGGAGCCCTGGTGGTACAGTGGTTAAAGTGATTGACTAATAACTGAAAGGTTGGTGGTTCGAACCCACTAGCTGCTCCACGGGAGAAAGCCCTGGCAGTCTCCTTTCTAAAAGATTGATAGCCCTGGCATCACTATGAAGCAGTTCTGCTGGGCCCTATAGGGTTGCTGTACGTTGGAATTGACTCAATGACAGTTTTGTTTTTGAAAAATCACATTAATGGCTTATTGCCAGATGATCTTGATTATTGCAACAACTTGATATTCATTAGTAATTGTTATTAGGGAAATCACTTTTAAAAAACAACAAAAAAATATAACTGAATGAAAGCAGTTATCACCTTAAGAAATTTTAGACGTTTTATTTCAACTGGAAATAAAGTATACCTTAGCAAGTGCTGTAAAACCAAATAGCATAATATGTTGGAAATAAG